ATCTCCAGTATGACCTACTAAAAATCTCTTGACTCCAAAAAATTAGAAAAGGACAAAAGTAAAGACATTAGTCTGATTATTTCTTAGAGAAGTTTAATCAATATAAAGTCATTGCCAGAACATGGAGGCTGAAGGGGCCTAGGACCTGCCTCAGTCGGGAAAGACACTTGCCAAATGGACAGGCATGGAGTCTAAAGGCCAAACCAGTTTAGAGTTCAATTCCATTTGCAGAAAATTCTGTAAGCCACTAATAGTTATAAGCAATATCCTTGCAATTGACACAAAGTTTTGAGAGATAGCTAACAACTGTGTGATGTGGTCAGAATCTTCACAGGCTAGACTATTGAACTAAATATGATATGATGAAATTAAGGAGACATAAATGTAAAGCATACTTGGGTTCAAAAAAGTCATGACATATAGGATCATTTAGATTTGGAAGGGACCTTAGAGGTTTCTTAGTCTGCTCTATATTTTACATGTGAGAGAACTGATTTAAATAACTTGCCTGGGGTCATACGTGAGGCAAGTAGCAGTGTTGAGCTTTGAACCTCTGGAGCTTTGGACATGTCCTTTGGTTCCATATTCAACTCTGTTTCCACATGCTGCCTGTCAATTTCCTGAGTACAACTGGGAGAGGCTTGCAAGTTAGTGTTTTCTCTGAAAAAGATCTATGGGTTTTAGCGTACCACAAGTTCTAAAAACCTCTGTTTAGTGTCTACTGTATATCTTGTCCTGTGCTAGGTATGGGAGGAAATACAAAGTTTACATGACATAGTCCCTGCCCTCATTTACTTTGTTCACGAAGAAGACAAAAACACAGATAAGTTCACTAGAGAATTACAGAACGGGTAACTGTGAGGTCTGAAGGGGAAGTTAGTGATGGATTAGGGCATCACAAAAGGACAGTCATGGGCAATGAGCTTGTCCTGGATTTGTATTGGAGAATAAAGAATGGGATATATTACATTTTGGAAATCCATGTAATGCTTTCAGGGATCCCAAATTACTTAATTATGTGCAAGTCCATTATTCAACACCCATAATTTCTCTGTGATGCTATAGGGGGTATAAATCATGGAATATTATGATCTTAAAGGAGAATCAAAATTATTTGTGATCCAAAGTCTATTGTAGAAGCATATGAAAAATATATATCTAATAGCATGTTGACAGAAATGACTTATGTGGGAAAAGGGATATGTAAGACTTTAAAGACATGCATGATTGGAAAATGGAGTGCCTATGTGCTAAATGTAAGGAATAATAGACTCCCTTTCCTTCCCTTCTCCCTGCCAAGTATTGCACTAGTATCCATGGAATGTGAAAGGCTTCTAGCATAGTGACTGGTTCTTCTATGTAGAAATATAAGAAAACATGGATAAGAATCACAGAGCATATTAAAGTGCAGGTCAGTTTCAGTCTACGTTGGCAGGGGACATTCCCTCATTTAGGAGATTGTGGACCCATTGGAGTGTCTTATGAGATTTGGCTTCTTAGTCTAACTTGTCAAAGCCCTTTGGGATCCTGGTTCTCTAATCCCGCATTGGCTGTCTTGCTCAGTTTCATATCATCTGCAGATCTGATGAACATGCTTTCTCTGCTTCCATCCAAGATGGTGGTAACAATAGACAGAGTTTCCATGGTACTATAGTACTACAGTCTTCTAGGTTGGCATTGCTCCATTAATCTCTGTTCTTTGAGCCTGGTCCTTCAATCAGTTATTAAAACATCTAATTAAAACCTTTCAGTTGATATGTCTCCATTTGTCCATAAGAATATCATGAGAGACAGTCAAATGTTTTGCTATATTCCAGGTATCCTGTGTCCACAGCATTCCCTGTATGGCTCTAGTCTAGTAAGCCTATCAAAAAATAAATGAGGTTAGTCTGGTGTGACTTCTTGTAATCCCTCTCCACCTTTTTTTCTTTGTAAGTGCACAGAGACAGTCCTTTTCATAAAGTGAAGCAGCATCATTCAGTGGATAGAGCCAGATAGCACAATGGAGAATCAGTAAGTCCTGAGTTTGTATTTGGCCTCAAGACACCTATGGGCTGTGTGACCCTGGTCAAGTCACTTAACCGCTGTCTGCCTCAGTTTCCTCACCTGTAAAGTAGGGATAATAATAGCACCTATGGCCTGGCATTGTTGTGAGGATCAAATGAGATAATATTTATGAAGTGTTTAGCACAGTGCCTGGCACATTAGTAGACACTTAATAAATGTTTCCTTCTGTTGTTTCTCTCTAAGACTATAAGCTTTCAGTGCTCCAGGCAAATTAAGACTTTAAATTGTATAGTAGGTACCAGGTTGTTGTTGTTATTGTTGTTGTGTTTGTCTGGAGATGGCCCTGGATATAGTGGGAGACCTTGGCCTTTTAAGCTAAGGTCTTCTCAAGTTCTCACTTTGAGTGAGGCGATGCCCATTCAAGTGAATAGGCCTCTTTAAGGAGTGAGTCAAAAGGGACGGTCCCTTTAATTAAAAAAAAAAAAACAAATCAAACTGGGAGAGGAAGACCCTCAGGATTGCTCACCAAAAGTGAAAGTTTCTATTTACGTTTTCATTGTGAGCCAGGAGGGCCCAAAAAAGAACCATTAAATGGTGCTTAGGCAAGGACCTATTGTTGTCCAATCTATGAGTTCCTGAGTGAATTGGGTTTTAAGGCTCAGTCTTCGACCAAGAAATCTAGTCAGTAAATCCCAAGTTAAGTAGGCAGCTTTTGCCATCAAAGGGGGGAAGGGAGAGGAGAGGAGAAAGGGGAGGAGGTGAGTTGCTCAACTGAAACTGGCCCCCAGCTGGGTCCCCACTCAGGCAGCTGGGATTACTGCAGGTCGTGTTTGTCCTTAGTTCTCAAAGAGGACCATGACATTAGGGAGTTGATGACATGATTTGCAACTGACTTTGATTTGAGAGGGCTGTGCAAGGTCACCAGCCTCACTTTCTCATCAGGACGACTGGAGATGGCCCCCCAGTAGGTACCAATTAGCATTGGTAAAGGGAATTCCTTTTTTGTACTACTGTGATGGAATCGCAGGTCTGATGAAAAAGAATGTATTGTAGAATTTTCCTACTAAGTAAATTCAAACTTTCTAGTCCATCCTCTGAAGACTCTGAATCCACTTTCTGAAAAATCAGGACACTTGTTAATTTCTAGTGCTATTGGACTTTGCCATCATATAATCTTGTCCCAGATTTCCCCTCACAACAGTTTAATTGGGCGATAAGTTAACCTCTTAGCTATGTGCTTTCCCATCGAAACATGACATCAGTAGAAGGGCTGGTTGTTCTGGAGCTTTTTTTTCTTTTTTAAATTTTCTGAGGATGGTAAAAGTCTTTATCATACTGAGTGTCTTATAGGTGCCCTTGAGTAGAACTATATCTTGGTGCCCACTCTCAACCAACTCTTCTGAGGACAGAGGAATGAGAGTAAGGACAGTTGGTATAGATCAGATTAGGGGCTCTGGAATGGATTTGGACCTTAGCTTCTCAATCACTTACTTTTCCAGAGCATCTGCCAGAATCACATGGGCCAATACGGAGCCCCATGAACATTCCCACCTCACCATAATGAAGACACAAGGGGAGCAAGGCCTTGGCCTCAAGGCTGCTACAGTGGTACTCTTGCTCTACTCCTGGGGCAGGCCAGCAAGAATAGCAGATACAGTGGGGCACACTGAGGGAGAGACAGGAAGTATTTGCCAAGCAAGTCAAACCACCCCCACCATTTTGACTACTAGCTCCCTCCTTGGGAAGAGCAGTGATTCCCAGACCACCAGACCTGCTTCCCTCTAACCCCCTTGCCATCATTGAAGGGAGAAATTGTAGAGTGGGGGTCCACCTTCTTTATCACCACAAGCAATAACTGCTGACCAATTGCCACTAACAAGCAGATGAGCACAAGGGCCTTGGAAGTGGTAGCACCTTGAGACCACACTGGTCCTACTTACAACCCAGCCTTCACAGTCATCATCTGGGGAAGCAACTCCTGTGCAGAAGGGGCCAGTCAACTACCACCTACAGGGCAGGCAAATCTGCCTTGCTGAAGCAGCACCCTGAAGGCAAGGCAGGAGGCAGCATGTGCTGGGCAGATCAAACTACCATCACCACCTTGACCACCATCTCCCTTTAGACATCATCTTAGGAAGCAAGCTCTGCAGAGGTGCAGCCTGGCTACTGCTTCTGCAGATACTGAAGCCACAGCTACTGAGGACCTTGGCACTGTCAAATGGCTCAACATCTGACACTGATATGAATTTTATCAGTGGAAATTACATTAAAGAAGAAGCACGCCCATCTGCATTGCTGCTGTACCCTAAAGACCTTTGGATCTTTCCATCTGACTTCCAGTTAAAACCAATATGTGTTATCTCCTCCATTAAAATTCGAGCTCCTTTGTCTTCTATTTGTATCCCCTGCACTTAGCACAGTGTTTTGCACGAAGTAAGTGCTTAATAAATATTTTTGTTCATTCATTCTTTCATTCACTTATTCCCAGTCTCAGATGACCTCCCTGCCCACTCATGGTGAGCTCTGCACATCAGTGCATGCTCTGGTTATAGGTAGTGATGCTTCAGCTCCATTTCCATGATCTGACTCCAAGGGGAGTTCCAGTGTATTCTACCCATAACCCCATTCAGCTGTTCCCCATGACTGTGGGAAATTTTTTCCATAAGCACAGAGAGGTTGAATTGAATGCCCTATATCACATAGCACATAAAGGACATGGTTGTGAGTTCAATCTGTGTCTTAATTCCCAGACTACAGATCTGGGCAAAACCTGAAACCTTCTCTGGCCACAGAGATAGTGTTAGGAGTCTTGGGAATTAATGTCCCCTGACCTCTCTCTTTGCTGCTAAGAAGAGGTAGAGCAACTTCTGTGACCCTTTTGATCTCTTACTCTGTAGATATCGTCCTGGAGGTGTGTGGGCAATTTATCCTGGTAAGTTTGGAAGCTAAAAGGCAGGACTGGTCTCTCTCATGATTCCTTTCTCCTTCCCCAGCTCTGCTTTCTGAAGACTCTGCTTTTTCCCAAGAAAAGAGTCTAGAGGAAGAAGAAGTAATGACTTCTGGGTTTCTGACAGCCAGGATGCAGGTGAGTTAGGGCTCCCTCTCTTTTGAAATGCCATTTCGGTTTTCAAGTGTGATGCCATTTTCTTCCTTTGCTCATCCTCCCTTCTCTCATGTAAGGTCTATGGGTGAACCTGAGCATTGATTACTTTTACCCATCCTATTCTGTTGGATGGTGCAGAGCTGGCATTTAAGCAGGGCAGGAAGCTTAGGGATCCTCTGGATGCAACAGATCTTAACCTGTGACTTATGGACTGGTTTTTTAGAAAAATATTTTGATATTGTATTTAGATGTACTGTGTCTCCATATATTATTATATCCTGCATATTTTATTTTATGTATTTGAAGACATTATTCTGAAAGGGCTTCATAGACACCACCTGGCTGCCAAAATGGTCCATGACACTGAAGAAGTTAAACATCCCTGATCTATTTTATCTATTCTTTTGTTTTACACATGAGGAAATCAAGGAGCTACTAGAATCAGAATGAGTTTCAGAGATTCGTTGTGCCTTATCTCTTATTATTGTTTAGTTGTTTTTCAGTCATGTCTGACTCTTCACAACCCCATGTGGGATTTTTTTTACTTTTTATTTATTTTTAAATTTATTTTTCCCATATGCTTTTGAGTTGAAAATTTTTCTCCCTTTTCCTCCCCCCCCCCCAAGACGGCACACAATCTGATATAGGCTTTTTACATTTACATACCCATTAAACTATATTTTCACATTAGTGAAGTTGTAAGTAAAAATTAAAACCAATATGAGGAACCATCAGAAAGATGAAACAAAACTCAACAGAAGGTAACAATAAGTGATAGAGATTCGACTTCCATAGTTCTTTCTTTGAATGTGAACAGCATTATCCATCCCAAGGCCTCTGGAAATGTCTTAGATCCTCATAATGCTGAGAAAGGTTCCATTTAACAATCTTAGTCATTGCATAATGCGGCTGTTATTGTGTACAAAGTCCTCTTGGTTCTGCTCACTTCATTCACCATCAGACCATATAAGTCTTTCCAGGTTTTTCTGAAGTCAGCCTGTTCATCATTTCTTACAGCACAATAGTATTCCATTACATTCATATACCACAACTTGCTCAGCCATTCCCCAATTGATGGGCATCCTCTCAATTTCCAATTCTTTGCCACCACAAAAAGAGCTGCTATGAATATTTTAGTACATGTGGGTCCTTTTCCCATTTGTTTCATCTCTTTGGGATATAGCCCTAGAAGTGCTATTGCTGGATCAAAGGGTATGCACATTTTTGTAGCCCTTTGGGCATAGTTCCAAATTGTTCTCCAAAATGGTTGGATCATTTCACAACTCCACCAACAATGTATTAGCGTTCCAATTTTCCCACATCCTCTCCAACATTTATCATTTTCCTGTTTTGTCATGTTGGCCAATCTGATAGGTGTGATGTGGTACCTCAGAGTTGTTTTGATTTGCATTTCTCTAATCAATAACGATTTAGAGCATTTTTTCATATGACTATAGATGGCTTTAATTTCTTCATCTGAGAACTGTCTGTTCATATCCTTTGACCATTTATCAATTGGGGAATGGCTTGTGTTCTTATAAATTTGTCTTAATTCTCTCTATATTTTAGAAATGAGGCCTTTATCAGAAAGACTGGTTGTAAAAATTCTTTCCCAATTTTCTACCTTCCTTCTAATCTTAGTTGCATTGGCTTTGTTTGTGCAAAAACTTTTCAATTTAATGTAATCAAAATTATCCATTTTGCTTTTCATAATGTTCTCTATCTCCTGTTTGGTCATGAATTCTTCTGTTCTCCATAGATCTGATAGGTAAACTATTCCTTGTTCTCCCAGTTTACTTATGGTATCAGCCTTTATATCTAAGTTGTGAACCCATTTTGACTTTATTTTGGTATATGGTGTGAGATTTGGGTCTATGCCTAGTTTCTGCCATACTCTTTTTCAGTTTTCCCAGCAGTTTTTTTCAAAGAGTGGGTTCTTATCCCAGAAGCTGGGGTCTTTGCGTTTATCAAATAATAAATTACTATAGTCATTGACTACTGTGTCTTGCATATTTAACCTATTCCCCATGTGGGGTTTTCTTGGCAGAGATACTGGAGTGTTTTACCATTTTCTTCTCCAGCCCATTTTACAGATGAGGAAACTGAGGCAAGCAGGGTTAAGAGACTTGCCCAGGGTCCCCAAGCTCGTAAGTGTCTGAGGCCAGATTTGAATTCAGGAAGAGGAGTCTTCCTGACTTCAGGCCCAGCACTACTCAGCTACCCTATTTCTTATTACCTGTTATTTTTCTTATTCAGTCCCAGATTAGGCCTTTAAACTCCTTGATGTATTTTATCTAGCCACGGTTTTCCAGGCCTATCTCGTTCTAGCGTGACTGTCTTTGTGCTAGGCAGTCTGGGACTAGATTTTTTTTTATATGTATTTCTTATGTATAGAGGCAGCTAGATGGCATAGTGGAATGAGTACTAGGTCTGGAATCAGGAACACCTGGGTTCAAATCCAGCTTTGGACACTTTCTTAGTTGTGTGACCCTGGGCAAGTCACTCAACCTTTTTCTGCCTCAGTTTCCTCAGTTGTAGAATGGGGATAATAATAACACCTGTCTCCCAGGATTGTTATAAGGATCAAATGAGGTGATATTTGTAGTCCTTAGCACAATGTCTGGCACATAGTAGGTCCTTAATAAATTCTTCCTTCCTTTCCTCCCTCTTTTCCTCCTTACTATTAACTACCCTCAACCTAGTGTATAATTTCTGAATTTGTATGTTTTTTCCTCGTAGTAGAAAATATGCTTGTTGTCTGTAATGTGCAGAGATAAGGGAAGAACCAAGAGAAGGGAAATAGATCCCAGAACTGGGCATCAAGATGACATGATCGTGGCAGAACGGGGAGCATTTGTAATTAGGGGTGATGGGGAGCAACTGATCACTAGAACCAAGGAAAGTCAGAAGTCTTAGTGCCTTGAGTCTGAGGGTCAGTAAATACCAAAGTGTTAGAAAGTAGTGGAAAGTGAACGTGAATGTGTCCTAAGAAGTTGGCTTTGTTCTGCTAGTCCCAAAGCTCAGAACTAATCCCTCAGAGCCCTCAGTGTCCCAAAATGTGCAGGCAGCGCATCGAAATACAACTTGACTCTATTACCAGTTTTATCTGAAATCTACTGCGATAATTATATTAACTGGATGTTCAATAAAGTAATCTTTTATTTTGCTCTTCTTGGCACTGTGGGTGAGACAGATGCCAAACAAAACACAGTCTGCTCTCATTGAGCTTATTATTATTTTACTTTCCTTTACCTTCCTTTAATCTTTGGTGGAATAATTGAGAGGGCTCAAGTCATTCTCTTCCTTTTTCTATTTAATCAATTTTACAATAAAAATATTTATAATCCAAACAATTATGTTAAACATACAATTTTTCTTACTTTCAATTTTTAAATGATTAAAAATAGATAATCCAGATTGTTTGGTTTTTTTAATACAATATGGCACAAGATGTGAATCTACAACTGGTTTTTTTTTTCATGCAGCTGCATGATTTTCCCAAAAGTTTTTCTTAATGAATTTTTTTACTTTTTTACTTACTATTTTTTGGTCATTAGGTTTATCAAGCCTGAATTTGGTTTAAGTATGTTAGGCTATATATCTGGTTTCTGTGTTCTGTTCCACTGGTTATCCATGTTTTTAATGTGTTTTTAATATGACCTGAGTTTTATGATGAACCCAGTAAGATAACAAACTGTGACTCCCTAAGCAATCAGTCAGTAAAGATTTATTATTAAGTGCCTTTGTGCTGGAAAATACTGAGACAAAGATAAAATTACCCTTACCTTCAAGGAGTTAATATTCTATCAGAGGAATCAAAATGCGTGTATGTTTATATTCACATAGATATGCATTTATGTATACACATATATGGAACAAGGTAACTAATAATTGCTAAGAAAACAATCTGAGCATGGATGATTTATTGGTTAAGCATTCAAATCCCTAGTTAGTCCAAATACCCTAAATCCAGAGTAAAGCAGACTTTTATGCCCAAAAAATAAATAAATCCAAAAAGTCCAGTTAATTATAACAAAAACAATTAACCAGGATGCAAAATTAGGTCATCTGTTTCTAGTTGGAGGAAAGTTTAGGGGCTTTCCAAGTTGGGGGGAGGATGAGTACATTTTGGGTTCCTCTATTCATAAAATGAAAAAATATTGATTAATTACACTCACCTGCAGGTATGAAACAATAAATGGCTTATATAATCTAATTTCCCATGGTTGAATAACCAAAAAAAATACCCCAACAAAATGAAGGAAAATACATGTAGCAGCACAAGATGGAGTCAGTGTTCAAAGGTAGAATCTGATTGGTTCTAATTCTCACACTAAACTAACTGCATTTTGTACATGATCTTCATTTTATTTTATCATATACCACATTATATACTATATTTATATATGGTAACATATAGCTCATTTATATATAGTAATATATAAATGTAGTATATGATAAGATTAAATGAAGACCATGTACAAAATGGTCTCTTCCCTTGCTCTCTCACCCCACCTTCCCTTGAACCAGCAGATCTGGAGTTTCTAAATAAGGACTACCACTATGTACAATTCAGATTCTTTTAGGGTCCTAGGGACATCCTTGTTGTATGGGGATTATACTCCCACTACTTGCCTTTCTAGCTCCTGAGACTTCATTGTTGTGCTTCCCATTTATACAAAATTAGTCACACCATTAACTCTTGAACACAAAATGATTACCTAACAGTAAGGTAAAGTCAAGAATAATGATAACATCACAGGTAATATAAAGCCGTGCTGGAATGATTATGAATATATATGATACAGATATATCACAGTCCCCCCATAAACCTGGACCGATACACACAATGTCTGTGGACACACAGAGGAATCTAGCATGGGGCACAAGAGTGGGAAAACCCATGTATCAAGAGCAACTTTCCTTTGACCTACAGGCCTTGATGTCCTTGGTCCTTTCAGGAACAAGCTGCTCTACTCAAAGCTGCTTCTCTTCTAGCTGCTTCGTTTTAGGTCCCTATCACTGTCCTGCTGGGCAAAGCCTCTTCTCTTCTGTCCTTGAACTGATGAAGCAGTGCTAAACTTTTAACTTACAGTCATCCTTAACAAAGTGATGAAGTGTTATGCTATCATAGTGTCCAGCGGTTCCCATAAACCATAGAACTGCAGAGTTCCTCATGGGCAGTACATGAAAGCCCAACCAGTTCTTTGCCTAGTAGGTTTCTGTTTTATTTAATCACCCCTTAGCCTCTTTATAGCAAGCAGAGTAGAATTCACAGCAAAACTCAGGTTGGCTCTCTGGGCACCGTAGATAAGCCCAGCCAGCTATTCACTCAATGGGATTCGGCTTTGGTCAATGAGCTCCAGGTCTCTTATAACAAAGTAGTTGCAAAGCCTGTCTTTTCTCCCCATTCCTCCTTTTCAAAGCAAAGTGGACAGTAGAGCACAACCAGGCACCTTAGACAGGTTTTAACCATTCGTGTTATAGGTCAAGCTGGAGGGCAATAGTTTAAATTGCATCCAAATTCAGCTCTTTTCCAGTGAGCTTACAGGCTTTCTTGCCAGCTTCAGAGCCAGGAAGACCTTGGTTCAAGTCCTGTCACTAACACCTACTGACTGGGTGACCTTGGGCAAGTTACTTAACCTCCTAGTGTTTTAAGCAACTTTTAAAGATAATGAGATGCCCAGAAGGTGCCAACCTGCACTGGCAAAGGGGATTTCCTCACAAAGGAAAGCTCTTTACTAGTGAAATCATAGGTATATCCCTATACCTATGTTATAAAATAATGCAGTGTAGCTCTATTTCAAGCATCTGTGATTTCATCATTGACCAACTCCTTCCCATCTTAGTAGATGGCATCATGAGAATTCTTGTGACTAACAAGGGTGATAGGAGGGGCAGGATGGTAAAGCAAAATATGAACCAAAATCTGAACTCCTAGCAAGGCAGAAGTGGTTTCTGAGAGGTGGTTGGTGATAGCAAAAATCTGTAGAGGGCAGAAATATTCCCTAAGCCTATCCTTAGGGAATGGCACTTTCTTAGAATGAAGAGAAGTAGTGAGAGGTTGGTGGATCAGGGAGTCACAGAACCTCAGAATTAGAAGAGAGCTCTGACACCATTCAGTCCAACCCATACCTGAACAAGAATCCCCTAGTCTGGAGCAGAGAACCAGGAGCAGGCTGACCATTCTACTACCCTTCCTTTTCAATGAGAGGAGGTGAAACTTTCAGAGAAGAAGCTAGAAGGGCATGAGGTGAAGTTCAGGGAAAGGCAAGTTTTTGTTATGGGGAGGAGCTGGAAGAGGGGTGGTGTTTTCTCCAGTGGATTGGGGGTTCCCTGGGGGTACTAACAGTACTAAGCAGGTGTACATTGGACAGGGCCTCTATTACAACTGGCTCAACAATTGTGTGCAGTCCCTCATTACCATCTCCTTGGACTTTCATGAAAATCTAATCATTTTTCCTTTCTCCATTATCTTTCCTACTCTAACCTGGCCTTCAGATTGCTCCTAGATTCATCTTTCTTGTGATAAGATCTTACCATTCCAGCTTGAAAAACCTTCATTAGCTCCCTATTACTAACCAAAGAGGAAAAAGAAAGGGAATAAGTATTTATATAACACCTATGATATGCCAGGCACTGTGCTAATTCCTTTCATAAATCTTATCTCATTTGATCCTCACAACAACTTTGGGAGGTAGATGGTATTATTATCTCCATTTTAGAGCTGAGGAAACAGGCAAACAGAGGCTCAGTGACTTGCCCAAGATCCCACAGCTAGAAAGTATCTGAGACTGGATTTGAAATCAGGTCTTCCTGACTCCAGACCCAGTGTTCCATCCACTGCACCATCAGCTACCTCTCAAGTAAAGTTCTAACTCCGTAACTTGGTATTCAGTCCATAATTTGGCACCACCCTACTTTTCTACCTTCATCTCTCAGTATGCCTCACGTTGTACTGTCCACTTGACTTTGTAATGACCTTCCTATTCTCACTTCTGCCTATTGAAATCCTGCCCATCCATTAAGGCTCAGAAGAAAGACTACCTCCTCCCTCATTTACCCCTAACCCTCCAGCTGGTATTGGTCTTTCCCCACCTTTGACCTTCAGAGCACTTTCTTTTACCTTCCTTTTACATGTTTATTATCTATTGGTTTGTATTATAGTTATTTATATATGTCTTCATTTGGTGCCCCACCCCTTCCATTCCCCTTCCAGTTGTGGCCCATATAAGGACAAAGGCCATTTTATTTAGTTTTTGTGTTCCTTCCAGTACCTAACATAGTGCTTTGTATGAAGTAACTATGGAGATCTGGGATGAATGAATCAGTGGTTTGGAAGAGAGAAGATCTGGCTTTGATTTCAGCTTCCACCACTGTTTCACCTTGGGCAAGTTAGGTAACCCCTCTAGCTCTTAGTTTCCTCATCTGTGAAATGATAGGGCTAGACTAGTTTATCCCTGGTCCAGGGTCCCTTCTGGCTCTAAATTCTAGGATTGTGTGTGATCATATTAATAGTGTGGTTCAGACTTTAAAAGAAAAGTGCTTGGGGGCCCTTTTGGAATTTAATTTGTGAGCATGTTTTTGAGGAATGGATTAAAACTATCTAGCCATATGCCCTCAGGGTCTACTACAAAGTGATCAGATATTTAAAATTTGAACTTGAGTCATTCAAAAACCTAAACACTATGGGACCAACCCCCTCTACTGTGATGCTATTCACTTCATGTCTCCCCAGGGTCCATATTAGGGGTTGTCCCAGGCTAAGCAGTATTGTGCTTGGTATTTCAGGAATCTGTGACATTCAAGGATGTAGCTGTGGACTTCACCCAGGAGGAGTGGAAGCAACTAGATCCTGCACAGAGGGACTTATATAGGGATGTGATGTTGGAGAATTACAGAAATTTGGTCTCACTGGGTAAGGACATCATTCAACTCTCATCTCAGAATTTGATTGAAGTGTTTTGATTTGAGGAATTTACCTGGGTTTTGGCTTGATGTGTAGAAATAGTCAGCAATAACTTGGCATAGGGGGAGATCCAGCATGACGTAGTGCCATAGAGCATAAGCCTGGAAACAGGAAGACCTGGGTTCAAATCCTGTCTTAGAAGCTTACTAGCACTGTGAACCCAGGCAAGCCACTTAATCTTTCCTCATCTGAAAACTGAGGGGGTTTGACTTGATAGCCTCTGAGACCTCTTCTAGCTCTGGATCCATGAACTTGTGATCGTGTGGTAAATTAGTACTATGATCTTGTGATCCATTTAAGGTCAACAATTACATATTTTCAGAGTTGGAGAAGACCTTAGAAGTCATCTAGTCCAACCCTTACCTGAACAAGAACTCCTTTACATCATCCCTGGCCAATGGCCATCCAGCCTTTGCTTGAAGGCACCTCCAGTGAGGTGGAGCCCACTAGTTCCCAGAGCAGGAACTAGTTCTCATTATACAGGAACAAGGTGGAAGGTCTTTGTTTTTTACATCGGGAAATCACAGCTTCATTCTACTGCCCCTGAGGAGGCTATACATTCTCTACCCTAAATAGTCTCCCCTAAAATCCCAGTGCAGATGGGATTTTACCTGGAGACATAAAAGATTCCCATCCTTTTAGCAGGAAGCATGTCATGTGAATTATTTTCGTTCTGAGCTCAAATCAATTCTGGATCCAATTATCCCCATATTTCCCAGTACCTAGTACAGTGCTTGGAATATTGAAGTCTTGTAAAAAAAATTCTTGTCACATTAAATTGAATGCAGTTCACATCCCCTTTCAAAAGTCCACCGTCAGCGTTATACCACCCTTTGAGACTTCCTAGTATATCTTCTTTTCTCTCAAGAGAAACAGGATAGGATAGAATCCTCAGATGGCTCTCTGTCCCCAAAACCTGCTCATTTCTTTCTCCATGATCAGGACTTCCAGTTTTTAAGCCTGATGTGATTTCCCAGCTGGAGAAAGGAGAAGCCCCATGGACTCCAGAAGTCCCAAGAAGCACTTGTTCAGGTGAGGCATTGAAAACCTGGGAGTAATTGTTAAGGAATACTTCATCTGATCACTTAGTGGACGGCATCTTTAAATGTTGAACAGGGAGTTCTCAGAGACTGTAGACCCTGTGGAGAAAGGCTGTGTCTACTAAGCATATTTGTCATGTATCTTCATCTTTCACTTAAATAAACCACTTTCCTACTTTCATTTCTTCCCTCCTGTTTTCTTCTAGTCCAAGATAAAACTTATTTTTTTCTTTTTTCTTTTTTTTTTTTTTAAAGAAAACTAGCTTGATAATGTCAGTTCCATAATTTTCTCAGAGTTTGACATTAGGTTTATTAATCTGTCATTTACAGAAATAACCTGTTTTCCCTTTCTAAAAAGCAAGATGTTTCCCCAAAGATTACCAATTCTGCTTTTCCAGTAATATCAACGAGTTCTCCCAGTGTAATTTAGTAACTGGGCAGCTCTGTGTGTTAATTCTATCTTCTCTCCTATCTTGGACTCCAGTTGTCTTTTAATAATGTTTATTTTACCCTTTTTAGATTTATGATCATTCTTCTTAATCCAGAATTCTGGAAACTAGGATGTATCATAAAGCAATTTGCTTTCTCAGAGAGAACAGGGGCCATTGACATTTTTCTTTTTGTTTCAGGTTCTTTTAGTCAGGAGGCTAAGTGGGAAAACAAAGACTCAACTCCAAAGCCTGGGTTTTGTATGGGAGAGCCATCTAAGGAACTTCAACTCCCACAAGACGGGTACTGGGATTTCAAGTTGGGATCATCTTGGGAATATGATGTAAGGTTAGAGGAGGATACAGACGATCAGGAAAGACAATCTAGGCAAGTGATATTCATCCCCAGAAAAGCTTCTAGTAAGGTGAATGTTAATGAAGGTAATACATATGGTTTCAGTCTGGGGTCAATTCTTGATCCACAACAGCTGTTTGCTACAGGAAAAAGTCTACATCAATGTGATGTGCTTGAAAAAAGCTTCAAACAGTTTTCAGAGCTAATTAAATGGAATAGAATTTCCTTAGGGAAGAAGCTTTTTAAGTATAATAAATGTAGGAAGCCCACCAGTTACCACTTAGACTTGGTTCAGTATGATGGAATACATATTGGAGAGAAACTTTATGAATGTCATGAATGTGGGAAAGCCTTCAACTGGATTACACACCTTACTGAACATCAGAGAATCCATGCTGTAGAGAAGCCCTATAAATGTAATGAATGTGGGAAAGCATTCAGCAAACACTCCTACCTTAATCAACATCAGAATGTTCATACTGGAAAGAAACCTCATAAATGTAATGAATGTGGGAAAAATTTCAGCCAGAGGGGACACCTCACTGAACATCAGAGAATTCATTCTGGAGAGAAACCTTATAAGTGTAATGAATGTGGAAAAGCCTTTGGCCAGAAGGCACACCTTACTGAGCATCTGAGAATTCATACTGGTGAGAAACCTTATCAATGCAATCAGTGTAGAAAAGCTTTTAGCCAGAACTCATCTCTCATTCTACATCGGAGAATTCATACTGGAGAGAGACCTTTTGAGTGTAATGAATGTGGAAAAGCCTTCAGCCAGAAGGGACATCTTACACAACACAGGAGAATTCACACTGGAGAGAAACTCTTTGAATGCAATGAATGTGGGAAATCTTTCAGTCATGGATCATCCTTTACTTATCATCAGAGAATTCATACTGGTGAGAAGCCATATGAATGTAATGAATGTGGGAAAGCCTTTAGCCAGAATTCATCCCTCACTCTACATTATAGAATTCATACTGGAGAGAAACCCTTTGAATGTAATGAATGTGGAAAAGCCTTTAGGCAGAGGGGAAATCTTACTGAACATATGAGAACTCATATGGGAGGGAAATCCTTTTAGTGTTCTGAGTGTGAGAAAGCCTTCAGCCACAGAGGTGATACCTGTGGAGAATTCACACCTGTGAAGAACCTCAATGAAAGATTAAGGGAGGGTCTTCACATCAGCTGTCAGTCCATTTGAAACATCAGATAATTCATACTGAAGAGGGAGCCCTGTGAATGTTTTGACCATGGGAAAACCTTTAGGATCGTTCGTGCTGGAGCTTAACTCCACATAGGGATGCTATAAGGAAAACATTATGAAGACTTGACACTTGTTCAGTAGGGGATGGGGATTGGATCTATGATTTCATCTGTATGATGAACTCCTCTATGATTCAAGTCAGCAGCTCCTCTGCAACTTACAGTCTTTGCTGGTTTCCAAGGGTACTGAAAGGTTAGGTGATTTGCCTGGGGTCACAAAGCCAGTATGTATCTGGGGTGGGACTAGAACCCGGGTCTTCCTGGCTTCAAGGCCAAAACTCATCTATACACTACACCACACAGGGAGGGTAAAGATTTCATTGTTTTTCACTGTCTGTATTTGTTGGTCATCTGAAGGGAAAGATAACCCTGTCTTTTCTTGTCTCGCTCTCTTCTGTCAGCCACATCAGTTGTCATCAGGTGGCTACAGAGTGATCTATGGAGAATACAGCATGTGTGCTGGTTTAAGGACTGTAGTCATGCCTAAATCATTATAATGTTCTTTAGGAGACTGATTAAACTTTACTAACTTGTTAGAACAAAACAGGAATAACCTAAGGTGGCTTTCTTGCTTGAGGAGGTATCTTTGTATTGGGGGTATATGTGTGTGTCTTTGTATGTGTGCACATTTGTGTTTGTGTGTGTATGTATGGGGAGAAAATGCTTAGAGACAGCTTATAGGAGAGTCCCTCTGAGATGAAAATGTATTCTTCCTGAGCCTTAGATGGGTCCAGTTTAAGCCTGCTGTCTTGCCCTGAAGCATCTAGTGTCAGAACTGGAAAGGCCTTTAAATTAGATCAATGTTACCTGTACCGACTAAGAATAGGGCTGAGAACAAGAAAGGAGGTCTTGTGTTCCACTTCCTGAAGGTAGGACAGGTGGAAGTTTCAAGGAGAAATCGGTGTGAGAGAGAATCTATGAACTTTAAGCATAACTGACTGAGAATGGGATCTATGTTTAGGAGATTTGTAATGATTGTGGGTCTGCAGTTAATCTCTGGTATGTTCAAGGCCACTCTAACTATATCAAGGCATAGACAGACGTATTGGGTTCAGTTTTTGGTGGGCAAGGGACTTTTATTAGTCACCTGTATACCTGGTTGTGGTACCTGATAGACTTCAGTGGGCTTGCAAATCTGCAGCAGAAGCAAAACCTTATTATAGAATTCTATCATGCTACCCACTTGCCTTCCCTCTGATTTTTCCTTAAGTTCCTCCCTAACTCCACTCCATATTCTTTCCACCCACCCAGCCCCATGTGCCCCATTGTACCCTTGCACTTTTGGGTCTTGACCTTAGAAGAGGTCCCTATACCCAAATAACACTTTTGCTCTAGTTTCCCCTCTTTTTTCTTATACCCCCCATATCCACAGCAGTAGTGGTAAGAATAACTGATATTAATGTAGTGCTATAAAATGTTTAAAGAGCTTTGCACACATCATCTCATATGAGCCTCACAACACCACCACGATGGTAGACTCTCTCCCAACAGGCATATCCTCAACCCCTAAGCAGTAATCAAAATACAATAAAGCCATCACATTATCCCCTTTGAGTTTACAACTTTTTAATAAAGCAAGCCAGCAGCAGCAGACAGAACAATCTGTGGCCTAATGTAAGATCTGTTGAACATCCTGAAAAGTGTTGCCCAGTAAATATTGTTTTTCTCCCCCACAGCTTTCACTGTCCTTGTCTGATTTGATCTTTAGGTAAATTTCAGCAGTCCCCAAGAGTGCCGCCCTGTCCTACACATGGATTCATTAGGGATGTAGATCGAATAGCATCCCTCTGACCACTTGGTGCCAGTGGGAAGAGTCCAAGCATGAAATGAAGTAAACAGGAACAGTATTTGTTATTAAACTGAGTGGCTACCTTCTGTGAGGAGTCTAGTTCCCCAGATGATCCAGAAATGGAGATCTTTGGAAGTTAATGTTACTTGCTTTTTTCCTTAGCACTGGATTTGAAGTCAGAGGTTTTCTTTGAATTCCATCCCTGCTATTTATAACCTGTATGACTTTGAGCAAGATACTTAACCTCAATGGGCCTCACCTTCCTCACGTGAAAAATGAGGGAGTTGGCGATCAGGGCTCCTTGAACTTTTTCCACTTGGGACCCATTTTCATGTATCAGCAGTGTTCTTTGGTGTTTCATGGCCTGAGGGCATGTGCAGTGCAAAGTGAATGAGCTTTGTGTTCAGATCCAAGGCTGCAGTGAAGTTGCACAATGCAGCACAGGCAAGTGCTGCCAGAAACACCTCAGATTCATTGTGCATTTGATTTTTAATTAATTTTTTGTCATTGCATATTCAAAAACCTTTTACCAAAATTTACCCAAAAATTTTACCAAAATTTTTGAGACCCCATATGGTGTCTTGACCCACAGTTTAAGAAGTGCTGGCATAGATGATCTTTAAGCTCCCAATTCTAAATCCGTGATTGTATGAAGCTTTTCATTTTTATTCTATCAGCCCCTCAGGTAAGTTGGAGGATAGAAAGGCATTGGGGTCACTGCCTCTCAGCAGACTTCAGCATAAACCCTTGGAGGGGAAGGATCCGAAGGGTACTGTTACCAAATGTCTTTTGTGTCTTCCTGGCATAGTTCCACCAGCTCAAACCAGGCTCATGTCTGCCTGCCTAAGGACCCTTGGGGAATCTTCCCTAAGCCTCACCATTATATATTCCTCACCTTTCCACCATATGGATACAGTATGCCTTTCTAAGACAAGATCTCATCCATTGTTATCCATCTATCTACCTGGAGATGCTTGTGGTACAATATCACTACCATTCCCTTTTTTGATAATATATTTCCCCTGCTTTTTTGGCTTCTTAATCTCTGCTTTTTCTCTTTTTCTCATATACTTTCCACTTAATAGTCCTGATTCCATTGGGCATCTTCATTATTCTGTTTTTCTTTTCCTTTTCACCTTTAGTTCATAACTTCTGGAATTTTTCTTTTTCTTTAGATTTGAGAAAAATGACTACCCTCACTACACTATCTTTATGAAGATAGTGACTACTCTAATTTTATTTCTAATTCTTCTTTGGCTTATAATTCTTCCGCCACCTGAAACAACTACTGCTACTCATTCAGCTGCCATTAAAGTTTATCCAGCCCTCTTTCCCCAGGATACATACTCTCAGACTGTCAAGGAGATGGGGTCTGATTCCATCCCCCCTTCCTTGGAACAAGCCTTTCTCTGCTACAACCAAGTTAGGATGATGGGCTTGATGGTTTCTTCACATCAGCATTCCATTTAGACTTTTGTTATTGGTGTGTATTTTCCAAGCTTCTGCTTACTTGGTTGGTATTCCCCTTACGTTATGGTTAGCCAAGCCCAATTTCCTGCTCTGTTAATTGCTGTCATTCAGAACCATTGTATTTTCTGGTAGAAATCTCTTTCCCCCTGCTGCTTCTTCCTGACACTGTTTCCTTTCTAGATCAATGCAACACCCATCCCTATCTAGCCATTTCTGGTTTTCCCCTCAGCTATGCCATTGGTAACCCAGTACCATTTGACCTGTATTTCTTATACACACCTACCAGTAATTGAAATCTGACTTTGTTCCGTACACACTATCCTTGCCGCTCTTTCTAATCTTGATCACTCCTCTTTGGGCTACACTGCTCCCCACCAGCCTCCAAACTCACAGTACTAGGAGGAATGGTTGGCATGTGATGCTACCACCGGATTCACTTTTCTACCATCATTCAACCTTTCTTTTTGAACTTCATTAGATCCAATTGTATGACTGCCTTGCTCATTGTTACTATCTACAGATCTCATCTCCACACCATCCTCCCATTCCTATCAGTCACTCAGTAAGCCTTTATTAAGTACTACTGTGTGCCAGGCAGTGTGCTAAGTTCTAGGTATACAAAGAATGTCAAAAGTCAGTTCCTGCTCTCAAGGAGCTCACAGTCTAATGAAGGAGACAACATGAACACAATTATGTACAAACAAGGATAAATTGGAGATAATCAGTAGAGGGAAGGCACTAGCATTCATTGGGTTTTTTTTTTTTGGCAAGGCAATCGGGGTTAAGTGACTTGCCCAGGGTCACACAGCTAGAAAGTTGTCAAGTATCTGTCCTGAGAAAGGATTTGAACTCAGGTCCTCCTGACTTCAGGGCCAGTGCTCTATCCACTGCGCCACCTAGCTGCCCCAAGAAAGACTTTTTATAGAAGGTGAGATTTTATCTGAGGCTTGAAAGGAGTTAGGCAAATGAGAAGGTGAGATGAAGGAGAGTAATCCAGACATTAGGGACAGTGAAGATGATACTGCTCTCATTCTCTTCCCATAATATCTTATACCTTTTCCCTCCTCTTCATATTGCCACTATTTATGAGACTCTCTTTACCCCTTGCCTGGACTGCTATAATTAGCTTTCTTTCTGGTCTCTGTTTCTAGTCTAACTTCTTTCCAATGCATCCTTTATGCAACTGCTTTGACCTTTCTTATGCACAAGTCTGACCATGACAGTGTCCTGGGCAAAAACCATCATTGGCTTTCCATTATCTATATGAGATTCAGAACTCAGATTTTTCACCCTCTTCAGTCTGACTCCAGCTCCATTTCCAGCCATATTTCGTGTTACTTACCTTTGCATACTGTGTTACCACAAGATTGTTCTATTGACTGTTCCCAAATCTTGTCCTGTCCTTTCACACCTCTGGACATTTCTGTAGACTTCTCTGCATGCCTGAAATACCTGCTGTATCCCTTACCTTTGGAATTGCCTCTTCCTTAAAGGCCTAGATCAGGTACCACCTTCTCCATGAAAGCTTCTCTAATCTGCCCCATCAGAAAGTGGCCTCTCAGCCCTCTGCCTAGATCCTGCCTTTGCCCTCACCACATTCTACCTTATATATTTATTAATATACATATTGTCTCACCCCTTTAGATTATAAATTCATTGCATGCTGTTTTTGCTTTTTTGTATTCCAGTTCCTAACACAAGGCTTTGTACAGACACTTAATAAATTGCTCTTGAATTGAATTATTCTGGAGTGATCATTCTGATTATTTTTCTAGTGGGTCATGAGCGTGTGTGTGTGTGTGTGTGTGTGTGTGTGTGAGAGAGAGAGAGAGAGAGAGAAAGACCTGTATCCTACATGAAGCAGGTTGGCCAATTGAAATAAACCAAAAGCTTACCAAAGGAAGAGGGTTTTTTTTTTGGGGGGGGAATGGTGGGGTGCTTATCTGCCTCACCAGTATGGCACACTCCTTTTTATTTACAGTATATATCACAGGGGTATGTGTGTGTGCATACTTATGCCCTCAAATAAACTAATTCAGATGACTAATGGCTTCAGTAAATTAACAGGGTACAGAATAAATCAACAATAATTGCCAGCATTTCTATGTAACAATAATAAAAGTCGAAGGGAATGATAGAATGAGAAACACCACTAAAATAACTGCATAATGCACAAAATAACTGGGAATGAACTGATGAAGACACTCTCAAGACTTCCAATGTGATTACAAAACCTACTTACAGAAATAGAACAAGACTTAAAACAATTGGTGGGATATTAATTGCTAATGGTTGGATTGTACCAATATAATAAAAATGAAGATATTTCCAAAATTAATTTACAGCTTGTGTACTATACCAATCAAGCTACTAAGATGATACTTTGTAGAACTAGACAAAATAACAATTCATTTGAAGAAGAAATGTTTAGAATCTTAAGGGAAAAAGAATGAAGGGGGAATAGTACTTCTAGATTAAAAGCTATTATAAAATAGTAATTATAAAAACTCTAGATCAGTGGAACAGACTAGATAAACAAGTACCAAGGGGAAAAAAATGCAGACTGATTGCCTGTTTGTTTTAGCCATTTTGAAAAACCATTTGGAATTATAGAAGAAAAGTTATTTAGCTTATCCTTAGAGATCTTACTGCTGAGCACAGATCTTACCCCAAAGAGATAAAGGCCCATAGGTACACATATGTATAAACCTAGGATCATAGCTCTAGAGATGAGGGCAACCTAGTCTAACACATTTACTTTTTATTTAATTCTGGAGCAGGCCTATGGTTTTGTTGGTCTAGCTGCTGGTGAAAGACTTCTATCAAAGCAAATTGGCACCTTCTCTACAAGTTATAGTCTTAGAGATTTGTCTGAGGGCACTCGTGGGTTAAGTGATTTGCACAGACCATATAGCTAGTATGTGACAGCAGTGGGATTTGAACCCAGGTGTTTCTGATTGTGGCCAGCTATTTATCCGCTATTCCCAGCTGCCTCTCCACCCTCCTCATTTTATAGATGAGGAAATTCATCTTCCCAGGGAAGTTAAGTGACTTGCCCAACATCACAGAGGCAGCCAATTCCACTCTTCACATCCCCCTGACCTCAGAGCACACTGAAATCACAGTGAGCTGTAAAACTTGCCAAATCCTTCCCTTTCTTTCACCTTCTTCTGCCGGCTGGTAGGAGGCCTGGGACTTGGGAAGAAGAGCCATCCAAGTTATGCCAAATCTCCAAGTTTGCCGTCTGTGGGTTTTCATGGTTTTATTTTGTGTGGGCATGCTAATGCTCTTTTTAGTTCCCTACGGTGTCTTAATAAATTACATGGCCATTAAAGAAAAAAGTAAACTGTCGAATCCTATGAATGAGGGGATATGAATAAGAAGGGAAGTTTCCAAATATTGAAAAGAAATATTAAGGGCAAAGATGAGAGTTTTTTTACTCGTCTCCCTGCCTCTGTTTCTGCCCCTGTTCACATCACTGGAGTGGGGTGTACGTGTATATGATTTGGCCACTAGATGGTGATCTGACAACACAAAAAACGGCCTAACTCAAGCTCACTGCATCTGACTTCCATTCTCCATCAGTCAGTCAACAAATATTTATTGAGTGCCTACCCTGTGCTAGGCACTGTGCCAAGAGCTAGAGTATAAAGAAAGGAAAATAAAAAGGCCCCTGTTCTCAAGAAGCTCAGTCTAAAGCTGTATGTATGTGTGTGTGTATGTGTATGTATCTATATCTATATATAGATATAGATATAGATATAGATATATATAGTGTGTGTATAGAGATATGTGTGTTTGTGTGTGTGTATATATATATATATATATATATATTCTCTATAGTATAGAGAAGATAAATTAGGGGTAATCTCAGAAAGAAGGCATAAGCATGAAGGGGATTGAGAAAGCCTTCTTGTGTTGTGGTACTTTAGCTGAAACTTGAAGGAAGCCAGGAGGTGGAGATGGGGTAGAGAGGGAAAAGAAGGGGATGGAGAAAGCATTCCAGGCGTAGGAGACACTCAGTGAAAAAGCTCAGAGGCTGGGAATGGATGCATGTAAGGAACAGCAAGGAAGCCAGTGTCACTGGATTGAAGTGAAGGGTGCAAAATAGAACGGGGCAGGCTTTGAAAACAAACAGAAGATTTCATATTTGATCCTGGAAGTAATAGGAAGCCATTGGAGTTTATTGAATAGGAGATGATGTGGTCAGATTTGTGTTTAAGGAAGATCAATTTCACAGCTATATAGAGAATGGACTGGAGTAGAGAGAGACTTGAGGCAAGGAGGCTACTGTAATAATCCAGATGGGAAGTGATTGCCAGCACCAGGGTAGTGGAAGTGTCAGAGGTGATAATTGGGGGTATATGAGAGATGAATTTGGCTACAGATCAAATATGGGGGGGGGTGAGAAAGAATGAACAGTTGAGTTGAACACCTGGGTGATCAGGAGGAATCTAACTCTTGGGGTAGATACATATATATATATATATATATATATATATATGTTTATACACATGTAATTCACTCTAGCAAAGAAATCATTGGTCCAGTTCCTTACACACACACACACACACACACACACACACACGTGCTGAGAGACTGGGAGCTTCTGGAAGCCTTAGGACAGTGGGAGTAGGCCACTTGTGTGTTTTCAGAACATCATCTGGTAACCAAATTATATACTACAGCCCACACTGCTTAATTAATGATGATATATCTTGAATTCTGGACAAAAGAGTTGAAATTGGATCCAAAATACAACGACAGAGAGAGAGAGAGAGAGAGAGAGAGAGAGAGAGAGAGAGAGAGAGAGAGAGAAAGGAGAGAGAGAGAGGGAGGGAGAGGGAGGGAGAGAGAGAGAGAGAGAGAGAGAGAGAGAGAGAGAGAGAGAGAGAGAGAGAGAGAGAGAGATACTTTGCAGAGAGTGGGTGAGATGGAAAAGGTTGTTTATGGAGATGTCTTTAAATTGTGACATGGATCAGCTACATGATCCCTGACTTTTTTACCCAGAGGAGGAGGGGGATGTGCAGATGGGCACGGCTAGATTGATCAATGAATATCCGTGAAAATAGCTCCTGACTCCAAAGGAATTCTGCCAACTTCATGTTTAGCCTTTCTGATGAATTAATGATTAGAGTATTCAAAGCTACTGGAAGTCTATTTACCTCAAGACATGTGCATTAATTGGAGACTCCTGTGCATTTTGTCTATTCCAGTACAAAAATATACAACTTGTAATATCAACAGCCCTTCTAGAATGGATGTGTTACCTTGTGATGAATGAATTCAAAAAAGATATTCTGACCTTGTTCAGTATGCGGACAATTTCTTGTTAATCTTATTCCTAGCTAGATGTTGAAGTACTGTTTATGGTATTTGCTCCCAGGAAGGGCTGGTCACCCTGCAGGAACTGAATATTCATAAATAGGATTGCTCTCTAGGATGTTTTGAGAACAACTCGTTTCCTAGAGATCACGCATTTATTTGGCAAACTGCCTTCTTTCTTGCAAGGAATTACTAAAAAGGCAGGTATTCCTGAGCCATCTTTGGAGTCTTCACCATGGTATGGACACATAGCCTGGGACCTTCCTGTTGGGACTCTGGAGGCTGATCCCAGGACTCCCTAGACATGTGATCCAGATGTACATGATTCCCCTGAAGGTGATGATTGATTGTGGTAAGATTTGATACTGATTGTAACTTACCAATTGA